ACTAAAGTTGATCATTTAGTGTTTTTCGTTGCTCTGTGAAACATAATTTGGGAAATAAAAAAATAATAATAATAAATCAAAGGGGGACTAATAATTCTGACTTCACTGTATGTTAAATATATATATATATATATATATATATATATATATATATATATATATATATATATATATAATAGTTTTAATAACTTATTTCTAATAATAATGATTTATTTTATCTTTGCCATGATGACAGTAAATAATATTTTACTAGATATTTTTCAAGACACTTCTATATAGCTTTAAGTGACATTTAAAGGTTAATTACGTTAACTAGGCAGGTTAGGGTAATTAGGCAAGTTATTGTATGACTATGGTTTGTTCTATTGGAAAACATTTAGCCTGAAGGGGCTAATAATTTTGTCCCTACAATGCTGTTTAAAAATTTTTTAACTGCTTTTATTTTAGCCAAAATAAAACAAATAAGACTTTCTCCTGCTCCTGCAACAATATGTTGAAATTGTTAGATCTGTGAATGTGAGAAGCTATACAAATATTGTACAAATAGTAGTGTAATACAAAGTACAACAAATACAGTTAAATCTTATACATTACACGAACTTAAAATAAATAATCAATCAAAATATGTGTTCAATCTCCCTCAGATCACTTAGATTTTACTTGAAACTTGTTAAAACTCATTTAAAACTGCATATATAGGCAAAAAAAGAAAAAGATAATTTTCATTGTTTTAAGCATTTTTTTAAAATCACTTTCTGTTTGTTCTGTTGTCCTGAAAAAGCTGTTTCACAGTTTGAGATACAGAATCCTAAGAGCACAGAATATCAAGTTTTCAATCTCACAATGAAGCTATTAATAAATGTAAAAATTAACCTGAAATAGTTTGTTTGCAATCATGTGGTTCTGGTGATGTGGGAAATTCAGATGGAGGGCTGGAAGTAAAAAAAACTGAATAGGAAACATTGGGGAAAGTCTGTATTTTCGGGATTACTCCCATATTTTAAAGTAGATGCTCGGCAGGGTTTTATGTGGTGTTTGTTGTATCTGACTATTATATGATACTTTAACATGTAACACACACACATAGCTAGGCCTGTCTTTATTAGTCCTGTCAAGTAAATTATCGCGTAAAAAAAAAAAGTTTGTACAGATGGATGTACTGTAGTGAAAAATGTCCAGTTTCCATTCACTTTCTTGAATTTTCCCCCTTTATGAGCTAAAACTTTTGGAAGTCTTTAAAATCTGTATAGCATTTCTCATTTTGGCTGATTTAAACAATTATAAACAATATAGAACGTAAACATTTGATGTTTAGTTAGCGATTCCTAAGTAAGAGAATAATTTCCTGACCTCCATCTGAATTTTGCTTGTCAATGACGTCATGTGAAAACAACCTATTGTTTAATTAAACTGAATATTTGATGGAAAACACTGTAAAAAGATGCTCGGTTCCACACAATTTCTTCATGCTGTCCCAACTCAAATGGATTAAGGTAAACTAACTGATTTTACAACTTTAGGTGTATTGAACATGAAAAATGTAAGTTGTCCTGCAAACAACTTCAAGAATTATGTGGATTCAGCTCATTTTAACTAAATAGTTTGAACAAGCAGCAAACATAATTTTTAGAGTCCTTATTGATCACAGGATGTTTTACAGTGTATTTTACCTTTCTTGCCTTATGTTTAAATGTCATTTAGGAAACATGCATTAGAAACAATAGTTTAACTAATCGCGTGATTTGTAAGTGCTTTTAAACAGACTATAATCTGTTATTGCAATTTTTAAAACTTGAAATTATATATAATTAAAATCCTCTTACGTCCTGAATGAAATGGTTATATAAACTGTTTTGGTGGGTAAACTATTCTGTGGTGTTCATTTTACAAAACACAATCCACTTCTGTTTTGCGTAAGTTCACATGTCAGGCTGATTAACTGCGAAAAGCTACCAGTGAATTAGAAGATCTTGACTTGACCTAACAGAGATGGCATATAATGAAAATGGACCAAAAAAAAGGAAAGAAAGAAACATGGCTCTCCAAGCATGAATGTTTCATTAGTTTGACTGCACTATGCTTCTGAAAGCCTGGAGTTGAGTCTCTACCACACAATCGACCTGAAAGTTTAATAATAACTCGCTCATGAGGTGCCATATGCGAGTCTGATGTGTTTATGCATCTACATCTACATATTTTCTTCTGAATTTCAGTATGTACAGTTGAAGTCAAAATTGCCTGCCTGTAAAATGTTTATTTTAACAGAGCTGTTTAACACAGAGAATATTTCTTGCAACACATTTTTAAACATATTTGTTTTAATAACTAGTTTCATTAGTCTTTACTGTGATAGCATTTTTCTAGTAATTTTAAGATACAAGTATTTGGCTTAAAATGCAACTTAAAGCTTTATATAGGTTTTTTCTGTGGTAAGTTACACTAAAATATGCCCAGTTTCATTGATATGTGTTGGGTCAACATGAAGGAATTACGTTTCCTTTTTAATTTGTACAAATTTAAGTGGATTAAGCATTAATCAAGAATTAATTAATTAACAAGATGTTGTAAAAAACAAACAAACTCAAGAATTGTGTTGTTTCATCTCATTTTATAAATAAATAGTTTAAACAAACAGTGAATGTCTTTTTTGGTCAGTGCAGAAAACAAAAACAGCAAATGTCTTTTTTTTTTTTTTTTGCCTTTACTGTGATAGTATTTTCTAGTAATTTTAAGATACTAGTATTTTGACCTTAAATGCAGCTTAAAGGCTTTACTACTGTAGGTTATTTCAGTGGTAAGTTACACTAAAATATGGCAGGTTTCATTGGTTTGTGTTGGGCCAACATGAAGGAATTATCACCAGACTTATTAATATGTACAAATGTAAGTGAATTGAACATAAGTCAAACAAGATGTCACTGGAAAAAAAAAACCCTCAAGAATTATGTTGTTTCAGAGTTTTTTATAAATAAATAATTTAAACAAACACAAATGTCTTTTTTTTGTCAGCAATAAAATAAAAACAGTTAAAGTCATTTTTTTGTCTTTACTGTGATAGCATTTTCTAGTAATTTTAAGATGATGGTATTCGGCTTAAAATGCAACTTAAATGCTTTAGGTTATTTCTGTGGCAAGTTACACTAAAAAAATGTTGGGTTCTTTGGATTTGTTTTGGGCCAAGTCGAAGGGATTAAGTTCACTTATTAATTTGAACAAAATTAATTATTGAACAAAATTAAATTGAACAAAAATCAAACAAGATTACAAAAAAAAAAAAAAAAAAAATCAAGAATTGTGTTGTTTCAGCACACTATATATAAAAAGCTAGAACAAACAATAAATGTCTTTTTTTTTGTCAGCAAACAAAACAAAAATAGCAAATGTAATTGCTTTGGCTTTGCTGTGATAGTATTCTATAGTAATTTTAAGATGCTAGTATTTGGCTTAAAATGCAACTTAAAGGCTTTACTACTGTACAGTAGGCTATTTCTGTGTTAAGTTACACAAAAATGTGCCAAGTTCCATCGATTTGTGTTGGGCCAATATGAAGGAATTAAATTACTTAATAATTTGTACAAATTTAAATGGATTGAGCATAAATCAAACAAGATGTCACAAAAAAAAACAAAAAAAACTCAAGAATTGTGTGGTTTCAGCATATTATAAATAAATGGTTAGAACAAACAGCGAATGTCTTTTCTTTTCTCAGCAACCAAAACAAAAACAGCGAATGTCGTTGTTTTCTCTTTACTGCAATATCATTTTTCTAGTAACTTTAAGATACTAGTATTCAGCTTAAAATGCAACTTAAAGGATTTGGGTTATTTATGGGGCAAGTTACACAAAAATGTTGGGTTCTTTTGATTTGTTTTGGGACAACATGAAGGAATTAAGATAACTATTATCAACACAATTCTTATAGGTTTTATGGCACAACTTAATTGTTCAATCTTCAATCCACTTAAATTTGTAAAAACTATTCAGTTAATTCAATCGATTTGTGTTGCAACACCATGAAGGAAATGTGGAACTCAGCATGTTTTACAGTGTATGTTAATTAGGCAAGTCATTGGACAATAAAACCCAGTTCTAAATTGTAATAATACAATGGGCGACTGTTTTATCTTTAATCTACATAAATTTGTAAAAACTATTCAGTTAACGTAACCATTTTGTGTTGGGACAACATGACTGAATTGTGTGAATCCCAGCATTTTTTACAATGTAGGTTAATTAGGCAAGTCATTGGACAACTGTTCTGTAGCCAATCAAAAAAATAAAAATAAATAAATAAACATTCTATATTATATCTATATTATAGGAAACATACAGTTGAAGTCAGAATTATTAGCCCCCTTCAAATTTGTTTCTTCTTTTTAAAATATTTTCCAAATGATGTTTAACAGAGCAAGGAAATTTTCACAGTATGTCTGATAATATTTTTACTTCTAGAGAAAGTCTTATTTGTTTTCTTTTGGCTAGAATAAAAGCAGTTTTTAATTTTTTTAAACACAATTTTAGGGACAAAATTATTAGCTCCTTTAAGCTATAATTTTTTCTCGAAAATCTATAGAACAAACCATCATTATACAATAACTCACCTAATTACCCTAACCTGCCTAGGTAACCTAATCAACCCAGTTGAGCCTTTAAATGTCACTTTAAGCTGTATAGAAGTGTCTTGAAAAATATCTAGTCAAATATTACTTACTGTCATCATGGCAAAGATAAAATAAATCAGTTATTAGACATGAGTTACTAAAACTATTATGTTTAGAAATGTGTTGAAAAAATTTGCTCTCCGTTAAACAAAAATTGGGGAAAAAATAAACAAGCGATCTAATAATTCAGGGGGGCTAATAATTCTGACTTCAACTGTATATTCTAGGAAATATTGTGAAAATTTTCTTAGCCTTGAGAAATCTTTGAAAAGGAATACACATTTTACGGGAGAAATAATTATTTTGCCTTGAATTGTATTTGTGCGTGTGTGTTTACAGATAATTTGACACCCCCTGCCCCCAATTCTGGACAAAAAAGGGTCCTGTGAGAGAGGAGTGTACAGCCAAGCACATGGCAGGACAGGCGCTGGTGTCCTGGGCTGGGGCCGTATGGAAGGTCAGGGGGGTTGGCGAGGAGCGCCAGCCAGGACTCTGAAGGAAACAGTGGGAGAATGAGGCGGCTTGAGCCCGCTGGTCACCAGCCAACAGCCCAGCCTCGAGTGTACGCTTTCCTCCGCGAAACACTCCACAGTGGTGGAGGGGGAAGGTATGCAGAACCACACAATGTAGATATTTTGGTTGTTGACAATGCTGACTTTGGTGGTTTTAACACTTAGTTGTTGTTTTTTTATGGTGATTATAACCATATGACCATCCAATACTGTTCATAAGAGACAGTTCATTTATAAAATTAGTTCATCCAAAAAAATAAAAGTTCTGTTTATAAATACTCACCCTCATGTCATTTGATTATGATCATAGAACTTTGATCATCTTCAGATCACAATTAAGATCTTATAGAGTAGATCTAAGAGCTCTCTCATCCCGAATACAGTATAATAAGGGTCCCGAGTCATTAAAAGTCCAGAAAAGGAACCAAAAACATTGTCAGAACATTCCATGTGACTTCAGTGGCTCAGCTGTAATGATATGAAGCTTTAATAAGACCTGCCAAAAACTGTAAAATCGGCTTTGAAATCTCTTAATTTGGGTTCTGAAGTTGATTGAATGTCTCAGGGAATTAGAACGACATGAGGGTGGGTAATTTATAACTGAATTATTTTTTTTTTGTGAACTAACCCTTTAACCCTTTAGGCTGTAGAAGATGTAGGTTATATTTTCTTTAGTAGAATAAAAAAGATTAAGAATATTGTTTGCGAAATATTGAAAATCAGTATGAGTGCATGTGTGAATGTGAGAGTGTATGTGTGTTTTACAGTACTAGGTTGCGGCTGGAAAGGCATTCGCTGCGTAAAACATATGCCGGAATAGTTGGCAGTTCATTCTGCCGTAGCGACCCCATATAATGGACTAAGTCAAAGGAAAATGAATGAATGAAGATTGCAAATCAACTACTATTAACTACTAAAGAAAGTCAAAAAACAAAAAAGCAAAAAACTTGAGTTGATTAAAGGTAATAATAAGGTGTGTTTTTTTTTTGTGCTGTTGGGGATGTTTGTCATTTTATGAATCCCCAAGCGCCATGTTTTCAGCTAAAAAGAATTCAAATGTACTAATGAAGAAATGCGAGAAAAAAACGTAATAAAAATAAAATACAAATTGCAGAATAAATAGTCAACATTAAAAATAACAAAAATGATTATTAATAATTTAACACTACTAATATATTAGCTGCCAGCCAGGATATTAAAGAGCAAAATGCATGCAAGGTCAAAAAACACTTTCATTGTCTTATAATATGCATTTATTTTTACTTAATAATCCCAGCGACTCCCAGATGATTTGTTTGGCAATTCATTTGTTCTCAAACCCATCCTTAGCATGATGCTAATCTGCACTGATTGGTCCGATGAGCCAGTCTGTTGAAATTGGTTGACTGCGTTCAGTGAGAGACAGTGAGAAATGCATACCACAGCTCATCAACATTGTTGAAGTAGTCAGAGTGCAGAATGTATGTGTGAGCCCAATGCAGGAATACATTAAAGCAATGCAGTTTAAAACCAGCATATTACTCTATTCTTAACCATGGGTAAAAACAGTCCACACAGTGTCAAAAGCTGAACTATTTTGAAACTTGACCGCGGCACGCATGTAGGCAACCATTTTAATCTTACTTACTTACACTTATGAAATGGAGGAAGAAACTGATCCATTGACTGTGTACTGTAAAGTTCCGGTCAAGCTCTGACAAAAGTCCCATACATCAACAGTCTTTTCTGATCCTTCCTTTAACAAATGTCTGTCCTTGTTGTAAGCGTGTAGATTGCTGAAGCACTCGTCAGAAAAATGACAGGAACACAGCACAAGTCTGGGGCTATAATGCTGGGGTATTTTTGCAAAAATTACTTTAACCACTGACTCTTTAAAGCCTCATCTTTGGGTGGTGAAATTAACACCAACTTTCCCTCAAACTTCAGAGCACAGTGTCTTTGCGACTTGATTCAACCAGGATCTGCTTTGGTGTTTGTTTTTTTCTTTCTACAGTGTTTGTGGGCGGGGTCTGGGGTTTCAATTTTCCTGGGTCTGCGCATGCAACAAATGGGCAGGGCTTGAGCTCCATATCTACGTCACGCTGACATGGCAAAAGACTCGTTACCCCATCATTCATTTGAACCACTCTGAATTGACTCTTTTATAGATGAATCATTAGTTTTAAACATGGTGCACTTGTAGATTTAAGCCTTAGCTGGATATTTCACTTCACTTAGAGATGTGTTACACACTGCATGGAAGGTCAATTACAAAAACCCATAATAGGGTCTTTTTTAAAATGATTCCTAAAGCATGTGCAATCAAAACTATAAATAATAATAATAAATAAATAAAAAGCAGTTTTAAATTGTCATAATATAAGGTTTTTATATATACTTTGGTCAGCCTTGGTGAAAACTGTAATAAAAATAAATAAAAGCAATTTTAAATTCTAAAAATATAATGCTATTTTTCTATATTTTGGTCAGCCTTGGTAAAAAGTAATATAAAATAAAAATAAAAGCAGTTTTCAATAAGGCAATATTTTAAATAACAAAAAAAGTCCTAATGATTTTAAACTTCATAAAGTGAATATTCGTAGTAAATAAGAAAACATTTTAAAGATTTTTTTTTCCTGAGCCCTACGGCCTAATTTCATGAGAAACATGTTGTGTCTTTATCACAAACCCTTTTCAGTCTCCAACAAAACCGTCTCTATGCCAATGATACCAAACCTTCTCTTGTGTTTTAAAGTAGGACAAAAACATTTTTCTTTTTTCTTTTCTCCATGAAAATTGCATAAGGCCAGGGCAACAAACATGGAAAAGGGGGCCATGTGAAATATTGAAAAGGTTGAATAATTCAGGGCATCCGGTCATGTGTTAAAAACAGGATTTTGGGGCGAGGGGGTGGAGGAGAAGGTGAGGCGTGAGGGGAAAGATCCCCCAGTCGCCTCCACACCCACCTGCAGGGTGACAGTCCTCGCTCCTGCCCTGAGCCCCATCTGGAGCGGGACGGGATTAGAGGAGGCCCGACAATAGTGCAGGAGGAACTGGGGAGAAAGTTCAGCTCAAACTGCTTCTGTTCAAGCTTTTCACACACCCCCACCACTTTTTTTTCCCCTTTATTTATTTATTTTATTTATTTATTTATTATTTTTTATATTGATTTATATGTAATATATATATATATATATATATATATATATATATATATATATATATATATATATATATATATATATGTTTTCACTTATATATCACTTTATTATTAAAGAAAAAAACAATCAAATTTAAATTCAAAATTTTAAATAATATATTTGAATATTATAAAATTATTTAAAATATTTTAAAATTATATATATATATATATATATATATATATATATATATATATATATATTTCTGCATTCTATATTTTGTCTGCATTGTCTCACTACAGGTGTTTTTAAAAATTGTGTTTGTTTATTTATTAAATTTTTTATTTGCATTCATTATTTTTTTTACAAGTCTTCCATCACATGTTGACCATTCAATTTTTTGTATTATTTTTACTCATTTGTGTTTAAATTATTACATAATTCATAAATAAATAATTTATAATTGTGTTTTGTATTATAAAATTGCATTGTATTGTAAAATTTCATTAGATTTGTATAATTTTATAAATATTATATCTGTTTTTAATTAAAAAAATAGATTTTTTTATTAAAGAAATCATTTAAAACTGAAATCAGTATAATCCTGGTTTACAATATATTATTGAATTATTTGATTTAAATCAAATGCTAGTAATGTTTTTTTCTTATATACTTTACTTTAAACAATATTACATAAAACATAAATTAATTTAAATAACTGATATGAATATAAACTTAATATATAAAAGAAAATAGAAAATGTAATGATTATATTCTGAATATGTTTTAAAATATTGTAAGTTTAAATGTTTGGACATTAATTTACCAATATTATTCATAATAAAATGAGAACAAATAATAGCTTTTATCTTTTATTTATATTTGCATTGTCTCAGTTTTTAAAAAGTTAGTTTGTTTGTTTATTTAATTTTTTATTTGCTATTTTTTTGTAAATCATCCATCGCATGTCGACCAATCAAATCTAAGTGTTTTTTCTTAGTATTTTTCCTCATTTGTTTTTAAAATATTAAATAATTCATTAATAAATCATTTGGAATTGTGTTTTGTATTATTCAATTGCATTAGCCATTTTTATTACAAGTATTTGTATGCATTTAAACACAAATAGTTTAAATTATTTAGATTTTGTATATTTTTATAAATATTATATCTATTTTTAATTTAAAAAATTATAGGGAAAATCATTTAATGAAATCGGTGTAATCCTGTTTTACATTTATATTACTGAGTTGACAATTTTAATCAAATGCTAGTATATTTTTTTTTCTTGGATACAGTTGAAATCAGAATTGTAAGCCCCCATTTTATTTATGTTTTCCTTTTATAAATATTTCCTAAATGATGTTTAACAGAGCAAGGACATTTTCACAGTATGTCTAATAATATTTTTTTCTTCTGTAGAAAATCTTATTTGTTTTAGAGTCAAAGTTTTGAGTTTTTTTTTTTTTTCAAAATATTCAAGTAAAAGCAAAATTTAAAGCTTTGAATTTTTTATAAAACATTTTAATGTCAAAATTATTAGCCCATTTAAGCTGTATTTTTTAATAGTCTACAGAACAAACCATCATTACTTGCCTAATTAACTTGCCTAAACGGCCTAGTTAACCTAATTAACCTAGTTAAGCCTTTAAATGTCACTTTAAGCTGTATAGAAGTATCTTAAAAAATATCTAGTATCAGTTATTAGAAATGACTTAATAAAACTATCATGTTTAGAAATGTGTTGAAAAAATCTTCCCTCCATTAAACAGAAATTGTGGAAAAAATAATCAAGGGGTCTAATAATTTAGGGGGGTTAATAATTCTGACTTTAACTGTATTGCTAATGAATCAAGGAAACATTGACTTTTGCTGTTTCGTTGCCAACTTTTAAAATTTGGGTTGGGTGGTTAATAGTACACCAACTTTTTTTTTAGGACTACACCACTGCTCATTTTATTTTACTTTAACGTTTAAATATTAAACAAATAAAGCTCAAAAACTAAAACTCATTAAATTTACATTAAAATGTATTTTCAATAACTGAAAACAGTGCAAAAATTTTACATTTACAATGGTACTGAAACTAATACAATGACATTTAAAAAGTACAGTAAGAATAAGTGTGTCTTTATTCAGCAACTGCAAAAAAAAGTTGATTATAGTTTTTAAAGTTTCTATGATCCTATAAATATGTACATAACATTTCTAAGCTATAAACACAGGCACCTGTTACCTTCATTACATGTAT